AATCAGATTTAAATTATAATTACAAAATATGATCATATTTCCATAAGGATGTACAATTTTATCACTAAATTAATGTCAGCCATTTTTAAAAAACAAGGAGAGGGAGTGTTCACGGTGAAACATCCAGTCATGTGGTGTCTCTGGAAAGCCCTGAATGTGCTTCGTACAGGACATCCAGACTTAAAACGGCGACATGTGAGGTCTCAGAGAAATTCACTCAAATATAATGTCCACTACAGAGACAAAAACTCCATAGCTGGGTCTCAGGAGCAAACCAGTTATGTCTTAGGCTGATGATAACTTTTTGAGCAATGTTGCCGTCGACGGGCAACCAGGTGAGACACAGGGCCCACGACCGATCTAAAGTACCCAGATAAAAATTTGTTAGCCATCCTAAATGAGAAAGTGCCCAAGCAACATTTTGTTAAAAAAAAATTGCCCAATAAAATTGCTCAAAAAGTTGCCCCGTGTATCATCAGCCTTAGATAAATGGTTAAAAATCAGAAGCAGAAGTATTTAAAATATGAAATCAATAGTTAAAGCTGCAGTCCGTATCTTTTTTTGGCTAAAAATGATCCAAAATCAATATTTGAGCAAGTACATAACCAGCCAGTGTTCAAAACTATCACCTTACTTTAGCCCGATTCACAACGGTTAGCATATAATAAAGTTTTTTAATTTGAGTGGTACGGGTAGGAATTCGTGGGAAATTCGAGCATGGCACTGCGTCATTACGTCACGTCTGTAAACATAAAGAAGTTGTCCCGGCTACTAGACTATCGCATGTGAGGATCCTGCAGCTGGCGGATCGTTTATAGCCTTTTCTCACAGCAGCCGAATAATTAAACGTATCATTTTGATGGTGTATTGTAATCCAGAAAGGATTATGTGTTTATGAAACACATGTGACTGAAATTAGATTATATTGCGGTTTTAAATGGAATTTAAAATTTAAATCTGATTACAGATAGCATATGTGGGATTACACAAGATTTGTATTTTAAAGACAACCAGTTCAAAGGGAGCATAATTTGCTTTTTGGGTTAAAGAATTTCTTAATATGAAATTCGAATGGTATGACAATTAGAGATTAGACTGTCCAGAAATTGAGATCTACACGCTAATACACTCTTAAAAATAAAGGTGCTTCACGATGCCATAGAAGAACCTTTTTGTCTAAATGGTTCCATAAAGAACCTTTAACATCTGAAGAACCTTTCTGTTTCACAAAAGGTTCTTTGTGGTGAAATTTTTTGGCTAAAAATGATCCAAAATCAATATTTGAGCAAGTACATAACCAGCCAGTGTTCAAAACTATCACCTTACTTTAGCCCGATTCACAACGGTTAGCATATAATAAAGTTTTTTAATTTGAGTGGTACGGGTAGGAATTCGTGGGAAATTCGAGCATGGCACTGTGTCATTACGTCACGTCTATAAACATAAAGAAGTTGTCCCGGCTGCTAGACTATCGCATGTGAGGATCCTGCAGCTGGCGGATCGTTTATAGCCTTTTCTCACAGCAGCTAGAATAATTAAACGTATCATTTTGATGGTGTATTGTAATCCAGAAAGGATTATGTGTTTATGAAACACATGTGACTGAAATTAGATTATATTGCGGTTTTAAATGGAATTTAAAATTTAAATCTGATTACAGATAGCATATGTGGGATTACACAAGATTTGTATTTTAAAGAGAACTTTTGGGTTTAAAGAGAATTTGCCTTTCGGGTTAAAATAATTTCTTAATATGAAATTCGAGTGGTATGACAAATAGAGATTAGACTGTACAGAAATCGAAATCTACACGCTAATACCCACTATACACGTAGTCACGCAATGCTGATGTTGTTAACATTAACAATTTGAGAAAAAAGTATAACAATAATAATAATTTGCATGGTTTGATGTGATATGAGCTAACCAATCTTTAGATTTAATCACCATTGGTAGCACGATTTATTGTACTGCTGTTTTCCTCAGTTGGTCAGAACAAACGTGGCAGACTTACTTGTTCAGATGACAATATACAGTGAAAATTCTTATTTGAGTCATATATTCCAAGACGTGGGCAAGAATCTGTGATTGCAAAGTACAGTAAATATCCACACCAGTGCGGTGACTGACTGCCACACATTCACCTCAAAACATTAGATTCATCTGCGCTGAAGCCGTGCCGGAGCACAACCCACGCAAGGAAGATAATTCCACAAATAACTGCAATTGCAGGTTTTCAAACAGAGATGGCGACAAAGAGGCAAAACTTATGGACTGCAGCTTTAAGATTTTAGTTAATTTGATTATATTTTATATTTATTATATTTATTATATTCTGATCTCTGTGTGGCTTCTCAGATCTCTTCATGGGGTGCCGATGACAAAAGGTTTTATAGCCATATAGCAGTGCATGTTTTAAAAGGTCGGTCGACAATAATAATAATACAGTGAGCATTCACTGATGAGTGCCCCACCTGAATTACACACCTTGGATTGGTTCCTACCAAAGATAGTATTAAATGTCCCACACAATAAATAAGATCACAAAGTACATTATTAACTAAGCAGAAAAGAAGATTTTGGGAAGTTCCCATGTCCTGGGGGTAACTGCAAAGTAACTGAGACCAAAGACTCTTTGATAACTTTGGCCTGTTTTCATTGTCTGCAGATGATCCAAGCCAAGTTTGGTGAAGGTCAGATAAGTTGTTTTTCTGAACCCATATCAGTATGCCAAATGTCATTAGGCTTCCACTGGCCACAGTGCAAAGGAAGCAGAAAGAAAACAATACAAGATGTTTTTTTTATACACCCCATTTTTTAAGGGGGTTCCGTGGGGGGAACTTTAACTGTAAGAGACTTTGTTAAACATATGCAGGTAGTACACGCTTCAACATGTTGCAACTGAGTCTCAATCCGGTTCTGGTTGTAACAAGCCAATAAAACCCTCTAACCGGCTGTTGATGTTTGCAGAACAAGAAGCAGCAGCAGACGTTCAGTCAGTCTCACTGTTATATGGCTTTGTATCGCTTTAAAGCCATCGAGAAAGATGACCTGGACTTCCAGTGAGTCATATTTGTTAACATTTCAGTTTAGCCATAGCATTCATGCATAGTCATAAGCATCATAAGCTATTTCTTAGTTTCATTTGTAAATCAGGTCATGTGTGCTAAGTGTGTGTTTGTGTTTCAGTCCAGGAGATCGCATCACAGTGCTGGATGACTCCAATGAGGAGTGGTGGAGGGTGAGTTCCTCCTGCTGGTATACTGTAAGAAAAACGGTTCTTTCATACGTTTATTAGCAATGGGATGACTGGGAGAGATCTCGACAGAAGTCTCCTCACCACAAAGGATTACAATATTTATCAAGGACACATGCAGAGCTAAAATATTATTGCTTCATTTCACACAAATACAATGGAGTGGATAAAACCACGTTATGCATCTTACAAGCAAACAGGAAAGAGGAATGAAAAGGATACAAAGGCTGAGATAATGGTTGCAATCCATACTCTGGTTGGCTTGAGATTTTCAGATATAAAGTTGCATTTATAACACACATCTGATCAAATAATGCATGTATAAAATTATCATATTTTAGGTTTTCAAACAAACAACATGCACCTCCTGTGGCAACATTTCCCTGATAATGATATGCAGAAGAAAGCAAAGGGGAGATTAAGATTAATGGGTCATTTAGTTTACAATTACTAAGTAGTTGCTAAAAATAGAAGAATAGCTTATTCTTAAAGTGTTTACCCCTTAAACTGAGATAGGACAAATAGAGAATAGAGGAAAACGTACACATTTTAATCCATGAATCTGTGTGTGTGTGTTCTAGGGTAAGATTGGGGAGAAGACAGGATACTTGCCCATTAATTACATCATCAGGGTGCGAGCCGGTGAGAGGGTGTATAAAGTGACACGCTCCTTTGTTGGAAACAGAGAGATGGGCCAGATTACCCTGAAGAAAGATCAGGTCAGTGTGTGTCTCTGTGACTGAAGAGAGATGAGTGAATGATATTGTTTGTTGTTCTCAAAGAGGAAAGCTGGGTTTTTTTGCTGCAGCAGATTAATTTTTCCAATATTTTTATTGTAAAAAGTCTTTTAGCAAATCAGTGCACAGAGCTGCTTCCTGTTGACTTCGCAATTATATGAGGTAAAACAGAAACGGCCAAAGAAAAGAAAAAATCGGTGAGAAGGTGAAAGAAGTTTTTTTTTTCTACCATTTTCTGTACAATACTTTAATGGTAAATACACAAAGAAATGTCAAAACAACATGTTATTTGCATGTGATTCTGTTCAAAATGTAGCAAAAATAACAGGAAATGCCTGGGAAGAAGGCTGAAACATTCTTGGCTTAAAGGATACGATATCATAATGTAATACACACCAACTATACTGTAAGACAATTATCATCTTCTCATTAGTGCAGATAAGGGTGGGTGGCACCATGCGTGAAGAAGTCAACAGGAATACCCCTCATCCCTGTATGTCCCATATGAAAAATCTGGTCATCCTAATTAATGTTTGTACCTGAGTAAATGTATTTAGAGGCAGCTTATTGACTGATTACTGATTGTTCAGATCTCAGCATGTATAACTGTGTCCTGGTTTGTAGATTGTGGTGAAGAAAGGAGAGGAGGTGAATGGATATCTGAAGGTCAGTACTGGCCGCAAACTGGGCTTCTTCCCTGCCAACCTGCTACAGGAGACATAAAATTATCATATTTTAGGTTTTCAAACAAACAACATGCACCTCCTGTGGCAACATTTCCCTGATAATGATATGCAGAAGAAAGCAAAAGGGAGATTAAGATTAATGGGTCATTTAGTTTACAATTACTAAGTAGTTGCTAAAAATAGAAGAATAGCTTATTCTTAAAGTGTTTACCCCTTAAACTGAGATAGGACAAATAGAGAATAGAGGAAAACATACACATTTTAATCCATGAATCTGTGTGTGTGTGTTCTAGGGTAAGATTGGGGAGAAGACAGGATACTTGCCCATTAATTACATCATCAGGGTGCGAGCCGGTGAGAGGGTGTATAAAGTGACACGCTCCTTTGTTGGAAACAGAGAGATGGGCCAGATTACCCTGAAGAAAGATCAGGTCAGTGTGTGTCTCTGTGACTGAAGAGAGATGAGTGAATGATATTGTTTGTTGTTCTCAAAGCTGTTTTATTTTTGCTGCAGCAGGTTAATTTTTCCAATATTTTTATTGTAAAAAGTCTTTTAGCAAATCAGTGCACAGAGCTGCTTCCTGTTGACTTCGCAATTATATGAGGTAAAACAGAAACGGCCAAAGAAAAGAAAAAATCGGTGAGAAGGTGAAAGAAGTTTTTTTTTTCTACCATTTTCTGTACAATACTTTAATGGTAAATACACAAAGAAATGTCAAAACAACATGTTATTTGCATGTGATTCTGTTAAAAATGTGGCAAAAATAACAGGAAATGCCTGGGAAGAAGGCTGAAACATTCTTGGCTTAAAGGATATGATATAATGTACTACACACCAACTATACTGTAAGACAATTATCATCTTCTCATTAGTGCAGATAAGGGTGGGTGGCACCATGCGTGAAGAAGTCAACAGGAATATCCCTCATCCCTGTATGTCCCATATGAAAAATCTGGTCATCCTAATTAATGTTTGTGCCTGAGAAATGTATTTAGAGGCAGCTTATTGACTGATTACTGATTGTTCAGATCTCAGCATGTATAACTGTGTCCTGGTTTGTAGATTGTGGTGAAGAAAGGAGAGGAGGTGAATGGATATCTGAAGGTCAGCACTGGCCGCAAACTGGGCTTCTTCCCTGCCAACCTGCTACAGGAGATCTGAATGAAGGAGTTTTCATCCTGAAGAAAATACATAAAGCAGAAGAATGGACGGAGAAAGAGGAATAAATAAACAAGGCATGACAAGAAAGACAACAATATCTGACCTCACTGTCACTTTGACAGGAATATGAACGTGTGCATGTACACGGGGTCTAAATTTAACACTCACCAAGCACTATATATGAATACAAAAGATCTTTACTCAGAAGGTAAAAACACAGGTGCTCACCCGTTGACCAGTCATTTTATCAGGAACATAATGCATGAATTCAGACTGTAAGAATGATAGTCTAATCCTAGCTGAGCGACATACAAACCGTTATCTGAAGAAAACATCTATCACATCACTACATTTTATTTACAAAAGGTTTGTTTTCTCTAGAACTCATTGTGGCAATACTTACATTGACATCTGAGATTAGCCAGTCTCCATGATTTTGTTTTTGGACGCTTAATGTGATCAGTGGTTTTTATCCCTGTTCCTGGAGCCCCCTCAACAGCAGACATTTTACATTTCTACCTAGAACAGGGTTGAAAACCACTGTCATAGGTTATATGATTAAATGACAACATAATGATCTGCTTCTGATGAATATTTTTGAGAGTTTTAGTCATTTCTGTGAGGGCAAATCTCAATGCTACACCATACAATGACCTTCTAGAGAATTGTGAGCTTGTTGGAACAGCTTGCGAAACAGACTTTTCTGCATTAGCATTAGTTCCTCTAAACAAAGTGAGTCACTAATGAAATGCTTTACTGGGGTGTGAAAGAACTTGAGTGCTGAAGCCTGCTGAACACCTTTGAGTCATTCTGGAAGTACACATTTCTCTAGAATTGTGACATAGCATTGGAATGGATGGAATAGCCAACCCTCTCAATTATATACTTTCATTGCTCTGAATGTCTGGAAGAAATTGGCATAATGGGTGAAACTGCTTTAACACATTTAAGGTCCCCCTAAAGGCCAAATGGGATAATTGTGTAAATATTCCTGGCTCAAGCTAAATGGTTGAATTTGTCAAATAATAGGTATGTCCTTGTTCAGTTTGCGAACCAATGTTTTTGGGGTGTGTATCAAGGAGGCATACAGTACAGTGTCTATTCATTAGCATTCTCATCCATCTCCGTGACAGGTGCTCAACTGGACACAATCATAAATGTAATGTGAGTTATCAACTTAAGAATGAACATATAAACATAAATCTATTATATTTTAGTCTAGCTCTCAGAAAATAAATAGAAATTACAGTTGTGTATTATAGTAGATGTAGAGTTTATATTCCTTGCAAATGGTAAAAAAAAAAAAAAAAGACAACCTGATTAGCCATTTGGTTATCATATGAGTGTGCATAAAATATGCACCAAGATGTAGCAAGAAAGGAAATGTTAAGTTTTAATTTCTCATAATGACAATGTATCTTTCCTGTCAATAAAAAACTAAAATACAATACAAATGATATTTATTTATTTAATTTTTTTTAAAGATAATTTTTTTTGCCTTTATTGTGATAGGACAGTATGATGACAGGGAGCGAAGTGGGAGAGAGAGAGAGGGACGGGATCGGGAAAGGTCCGCGAGCCAGGATTCGAACTCGGGACGCCCAAAGTGCACCGGTGCAAATGTAGCCGTGCTGCATCGGCACTGACAACATTCCAAATTTTTACAGAAATTTCAATAATTACTCTGATTATGTCAGAAATAAGATTGACACAACATTTTAATGTTTCATTGTACCTTTTCATCGATAATTTTTGGCTCTTAAAATTAATTTAAACACATAGTATAAATAAAAACTGAAGTGCTGCATGATCAGATGCCAGCTTACAAAAAAGGGTGTAGCGTGTAGGGTCCCCTTGATGTTGTGCCGAAGTTCGTGAAGATGTCCTCCGGACGTTCACGGGGACATTTACAGGACATCCAGTGGCCATTCTTGATCGCTTGAAGTCTTCTGAATGTCATTTTATATGACTTCTTGTCTAACCAAAGAAGATAGACACATGCAAAATAGTTGGAAAAAAAGTAGGCTACATTTTATTTGAACAATTAAAAAGATTGTTCAAAGAAGTGTGTTTTTGGATGTGAGGGAAAGAAAGCCTTGTTCAGCTTCCCAAAGAACCCAGCGTTACGTAAACAGTGGATGCAGTTTGTTTTTCCGGGACAGCAACGGAGTTTCGCACGTGTGCGTTTGTTCATTTCAGTGACGAATGTTTTATAAACAAGGCCCAGTTCAACGATGGGTTTGCACATTGTTTGATACTGAAAGATGGAGCGGTCCCAGCGATAAAAGATCCCGGTTATGAGTCAGAACTGCAGGCGGTAAGTAAAACTGAAACACATTTCTGTGTTCTGTTGGCAATCGGCGCGTAAGTGCTCGGGACACTTTAGCTCCGCCCACGGCATGCCTCCAGGAGCTCGCCTGTTTTCGGAGAGAATCGTAAAGCTGTATCTTTCTTTTATAAATCTGATAAAACTAAAGACTCTTCGGAGATATGAAGGACGCAATACTACTATAGATTAACATGAGATTGGCAAAAATCTGTGTTATGTCCCCTTTAATGGCTATAACAATTTTAATGTATTGTTACTCAGTATTAAAGAATGCTATTTATTATATGACTCATTGTGATCTTAAAAGCAAAGAGAAATATTTTAATTGAACTGTGTTTAACTTTTTAGTATGTGGAAAATTTGATGATTAAAACAAAATTTGCTAGTATAGTTTCTAATAAGGCTGTCTACTGTCTCCATGGGCTCTCTCTTCCATATATGGATAGAAGAGTAAGGCTGCATGACTATTGGCTGCGCAGCTGAAGTTCGCGGTGCTGATTGGCTTAATAATACTTCACAGTCACTAAATAAAAATCGGCACACTGCAACTACTGCTCTCAAAAAAATGTTTAAATCACGACGTTTCGACCCTAAGGTCTTCGTCAAGCAAAACAAGAAGTGAATCAGAAGAGTACAATTTATTATCAACATGATCTATCACACCTGATATAATTCATCAACCTTATTATCTAATCACCCAATGAACAGAAACGAAGAGAAAAAAAACCCCACAATAACCAATGCACTGTAAATATCGAAGAGTCAACAAATTATTTAAAAGCATGGAAATTAACGACAATGGGGTTCTTTTGGTCATTCAATCGTATATTACTTCTATGTTCTGCAATACGTGTTTTTAAACAACGTTTTGTTTTACCTATAAATGCCAAACTACATGGACATTTAATCATATAAATTACATTTTTGGTGTTACACGAAATAATTCCCTTTACTTTCAGCTGTTTCCCTGAGTGAGGATGGCTAAAAGTATGACATTTAGTTGTGAAGTTACATTGTGCACATTGTCCGCATCTATAATTACCATCAGGGACTGAAAAAGGATGATTCGAACACTCCAACCCTTGATCGGCTCTCACTACCATTTGCCGTACATTGGGGGCTCGTTTATATACAATTCGTGGAGGATCTTTACAACAACGACTCATGACAGGGTCCGAACTAAGAATATGCAAACTCGTTACTTAAAGCAGAATATTGGATAATACAAGACAAGAATTAGTCATTTTGAATGTGTTCAAGCAAGGCATTCTTTCTGATTGATATTTTCAAATCGTGCCGCAGCTTCTCTAATCCAATTATTTGCATAACCTCTCTCACGAAACCTCTGGTATAAATCTTACATTGTTTTCATACATTTCATCATGCGTGCAAATCCTACGAATCCTCTTGAACTGACTAAGTGGAAGACTTTTACAGTCCGCAATGTACCGCGTAATTAAACAGAATTTACAGCGCACCTATTTGTAACTAGCATACCTCCACAGTATTTACTCGTAGGTATAAGGGAACAATATGCAACGTTTGGGTAATAAAGGGGAATAACCTGCACAATTATAAAGCATTTATACTGTAAGTATTTTATAACTAAAGGGCACCTATTCTGAAGTTACGTGGTATGTGTGACACACAGACCGAAATTTACTGCGTGAGCATAACTTACAGCTGTACTACGTACGTGTAGGTAAACGGAGACAATGTGCAATGTTTGGGGGATAAGGGGGTAATTACTTATGAAATACTAACAGTATAAATAGTTTTAATTTTCTAAGTAAGGTGTAACTATTCTAAGATTACGTGGTATGCATGACCTGATTTAGAAGTTGCCTTATTGTAATAACACAAAATATATGATTCAGTATATTTTTACACTACGTACTGGGTACTTATTGTATTATGTAAGGAATAACTGACGATGGGCCGTTGAATTATTAGAAAAATAATGCACACCCAAGGTGGGGATTAAGGGATTCGTCCAGTTTTTGTACTTAAATTGCTATTGTGAGTAGGATTATTTCTTCCGCATCTCATCCAACGCCTCTTTTGCTAGTTCCAAAACCTAATTTTAAAGCTGGTAATGGAGGTTTGAGCCGTTGATAGCATTCTAATGCAGTTATTAATGAAGTTATTAGAAAGAGCGCGAGAGAGACAGAGAAAGAGAGAGAGAGAGAGCTTGTGAGAACAGCTCAACAGTGTTCTGCAGCAGCGTCTCTAAACAGCGCTGTTATTACCTCGCTAGTGAGAAATGTCATGAGTAGCCTTTAAGTTGCTACACTATATAGGCTAACTGATCAAATCGTCAGGGCAGCACTGACAACACCTTTTTGTGCAAACTGCGTGACCGTAGTGTGCGTGTGCGAGCACGTGTGATTGCAGTAATTCCTGTGTGCTGTATAGGTACTGTATGCTAATTTCCGTTATTACAGTTAACTATGCGAAGTGATATGGAACTGTAATGCGGTCAAGAGAGCTGCCTGGAACTACGTTCGCCGTGCGTTTCCCTGAAAATAATTGCATACCGCAGAATGTTCGTCAGCCAATCAGATTCAAGCATTCAATGGCCCTGTAGTATAATACAACATATATCTTGCATGACTGATACAAATAGTAAACTGTAGTATACTATAGTAGGCTATAATTTAGTAATTATAGTAAAGTTAAAAACCACCATAATCTTTATAAAATCTTTTACAACAGTTTACTTAAGAATGCTATAGTATTTACTAGTGTTTCTTTATGTGGGATCATGGAGATTATAAAGAATGGGGAAATGATGCAATGAGTTTCTGCTATGATTTGGTTTAGAAATGTCCATATGAGAATGTACCTGATGAAAGAGCATTGCATATAGTCATCTCAGCAGCGAGTCCGTCAGCAGCATTGTACCGTCGAGCTGCAATACAGTGGAAAGCTAGATTAGCTGTTTTTCAGTTGCTCCCAGAATATAACATATACATATAACATCATAATACACAATGCATGTATATCTACTGTATACGGAGGGTATATATACATATATATACTGTAAAACAAGAGGGTAACAAGGGATCACTTTAAATTACAGCCCGTGGATGTTACACTTACACAACTTCATATAACAAGGGTGTATGTTTGCACAGTAGTTAATCTACTTGCCTCAAACACATACGGAAGCTCAAGTGCATATATTTTGATATTATTTGTCATGCCTGTTACAGACACATGCCTTATTATACAACAGTTTTAATCAGAACTATGTTATAGTTTTCACATATATGAGCAGTATTTTAGTCCCTCTTTTCACTGGGATTGTTTCAAATTTTGGATTTTTTTTTTCAATCTTACATTTGTCATTCAAATGACCAAGAACATACACACTTTGGAGGGTGATCACATGTCAATTAAGAAAAATATATATTTTTACAAGAGAGATATTAAAAGAAGGGATTTGTCAAAAATACAATATAGAGAGGGTTACGATGGAAAAACTTGGAAGGCCATTACAAATATAATTTTTATACTTTTTATGAAATTAATGACAGTAACAGGTCTGACAAGAGTAACAGGGATGACAGGATGCATTCTTCAGTATAATATTACGTAAACAAATATGCGCAAAGTTTTACCTTTTTAAATTGCATTCTATTGTTTTGCAGTCTTATAGTTGTATTAGTGAAGCACATTACATTTCTAAGAGATCTAAAGCCCGGTTTCACAGACAGGGTTTAGACTAAGTCAGGGTTAGGCCTTACTTCAATTAGGACATTTAAGTAGCTTTTATAAACGTGCCTTAGAAAAATACATGACTGGTGTGCATCTTGAGACAAAACAAGGACACTGACATATTTTAAGATCTGTCAGTGCAAGTTGCTTTCAGTTAAAACAGCTCATACATGCATTTTAGTCTGGGACTAGCTTAAGCCTTGTCTGTGAAACCGGGAGCTAATGTTTTAGGGTATTGAAATTAGACCCTTGTGTCCATCTGTTTGTCTGTGTATGTCCCCTCACAGAACTTAAAATATATTGATATACTGACAGCAGGGAAATGTTATGAAAGCGTAGAACTCAATTGAAACTGTTTGAATATCCATGCTATTAGTGAGATGAAAAGTAGT